CGACGTTTTCTTTTGGAGAATTCATGGGTTTGTCTCGGGATATTTTGGACAACAGAAGAACCAACTGTAACGCATGTATTTTCTCTTCCTCGTCTTCTTCTTGGTAGAGTTTGCTCAGTGTTGCTTCTGGTACCTCGAGAGGTTACCTAATGTGAGGTGTTTCAGAGCTCTTTGTTAAATCCTGACTCTTGGACTCTTTACAAGAGGAGGTTTTCTCTCCAACTCTCAAAGACGGGATTCCTGCTCTTTCTATCTCTTTCGTTTTCTCTCTTGTTTGTACCAAAAGTATTTGCTTTGGTGCCTTTTTCATCAAAAGCATTAGATTTAATGAAATTGGGCTTCAAAGGTTGAATGTACCGTCTTTGGGTTGGATCTGAGAAATAAAAAATATACATACTCACAGCACGACGCGCATGGTGGACTTTTATGTATTCTTTATTCTTTATTTAATAAGTTGCTCAGTTTTCTCAGCCAATTCTACTTCTGACATAAATGACCAATGATTATTCCCGTCGGGCTACCAAAACGAGGAATTGCATGAAATTTATTATAATTTTTGTCACTGGTACATCTCTTAGTCCCCCATGTGAGCGATGGCATAGGCTATTTTGTCCTGAAAATATTGCTTAGGTAGTTTCACTTTTTTGTTTTTCCCCTTTTCAGCCTCTCATATCCCAACATTAGAGTTTATTCTACTTTTGCCAGAGAAAGAAAGTAATAATGACTGATAATGATGATATTACTTTAAAAGTTTCATAAGTGGCAGTGACCTTGTTCTTGACAGTGACCTTTACTTTAGTTTAGTTTGGACATGTTTGTTTATATGTTCATATCTAGTACCTTCGTAGTGTGTTGTAGCGAGGCATGAGTGTCCTGGGATGCCTCGATGGCTAGTATCCTGCTTTGGCCCTTCAGCATTGCATACTTATCAAACGAACAAAGTGTCAGCATTGCATACTTATAAGATGAAAGAGAACCAACCAAGTGTCAGCTTGAGACTCGCTCTCTCTTTGTCTTGAAGGAACCCAAGCCTGACTCCCCGAGGCTGGGGAATCCAAGCATCGCGGAGGCGGCCCAAGTGGGATGAGAGACACCGGAAGGCGCATCCCCGGCCCTTTCTCGTTGTTTAGATGGTGATGTCTCTCTGTCTTGTCTCTCTCGGTGGTTTAGGTCACAACATGTCCCAGGCAGATGCCAATTCGGTGGCAGGGGAATCCATGCGTGCTGGCCAGACCGGCACGGGATGTTACAAAAACCACGAACACCACATGGGTCGCCTGCAGAAGGAGGCTCGGCAGGGGGCGGGCGTGAACGCCGCCGCCCCCGCGTCGAACATTCTCGATATCCCGGCCACCGAAGAGACGAGGCCGCCGGGCTCCCCCGATTACCAGACGCCGGTAAGTCCTCCTCCTCCTCCTCCTCCTTCTCCTCCTCTCTCCCCTGTCTCTTCTCTCCCTGTATTCATAACTATCATTTGTTGTATTTATTACCGTCCTTTTGAGCTCGGATTCATGTCTTCCCCTCGCCAGATATCTTGATTAGCTTGCTGTCCTGTCCAGCATTCATTTGCTAGTATTTCATTTCTATTTTGTCAAGCTCTGAATTATTTTTCTTTCTTCCGGTCAAATGTAAAATCTTCCCATTTCAAATTTTAGTGATGTAAAATGAGGAACAATAATCATAACAATAATGATAATTATCAATCATAATAACACTAGATTAAAATAAATAACGTCTTTTCGACCTGATCTTGCCTTCAAATATTCTAACTCCCTTTCCCTCACTTCCTTTAGTTCGGAATTTCTCCCCTTGCGTCTCTTTTCGTTGACAGTCTGCACTGTATCAACTTTTCTCTTTTGTCTTCCGTTTATCTTTCTCTGTCTGTATATCTCGAGTCTCCGTTCTCCTTCCTTTCTCTTCCCTTTCTCCGCTCTTCTTGTCTATTCCTCATTATCTATCGTCCATTCTGCTTCCGTCGGCCAGATTTCAACGTTTGTCTGCCATTGTGCTGTACTTTACTGACATAGATTACATTTTTAACGTCTGGTCCGAACCCTTTGTTTCAATCAACTCATTATTATGTGCATGATAGAATGGTTTATTGACTGCCTTTAGTGTCCAATTGAGACTCAGCTGACACGAGAAACAAACAAAGACTGACCGAAAACCCTCAAGCTGGTTTTGTGAAACTTTTTTCTCTAGACATTCGAAAAAATAACTTTTAGATATTTATGTTTTGAAATAGTGCCTGTTTCTCCCACTTTCTCAGCTGTTCTTCACTGATTATATGTGTGTGAGTGTGTGTACATGTGTATGTATCTGTGTACGTACATATATATATATATATATAATATATATATATATATATATATATTATATATATATATATGTATATATATATATATTTATATATATATATATATATATATATATATATATATATATATATGTATATATATATATATATATATATATATATATATATATATATATATATATA